ACCTTTTTAACACTTAAACAATTCACATTCTCCTCTCAAAAATACACTTCAAATCTTGCAAACAAGTAGCTTTGAGACTATATTAAGCTGATCAAAACATTGATATTGAATTATTGAATTGATATTTTGTTATAGACTAGTTTTTTGATATTTTTGTTATAATTGAATTATTTGAAATTCTTCAACTAAAGACATCATAATCTCATTTTGTGAGAAGAATAAAGTGAAAGAGTCTTCGTTACTTTTGTTATTTTTGATATTTTAATTAGTTAGTTAAATTATTAGTCACTTTAATTAGATAATTCATAAATTAATTAGTTAGTACAGTTATTCAGAACACTATATCTAATTGAAATACTATTATCTTATCCTTTTTCTCTTTCGAACTATAACAATTTCAGTATAAATTGGCATAGGACTTAGATATTATTTTCATATTTTTCTTACATTTGTTTAATTATCTCTTCCAATCCTTGTTCATGTTTATTAGCTAATTACCCAATTAGTGAAAAACTTGTAACAATTCTTAATATTTGTGAATACATGAACAAAATCTAACTGATGATTGAATAAAATAATATTGGCATGGGACTTTAGAAAAATTAATAATAATATAACCTTAGTCTAACTCGTTTTTCCACACAAGTTACAGATTAACAGCTAATTCCTATAATTGGCCTCTAACCTGTAACAGTATGTAATTGATAATATATGTACATGTACGTAATAATAGCAATAGTAAATTACAGTTCTGGCAGAAAGTAATGACAGCCAGTTTTTATTATATTTCATTCAATTATGTAATAAAATTTAAAAATTTATTTTGATAGTGCCTTTGAATAGGACATTATGCCCCTAAAATATCAATGCAAGTTTGAATAAAATTCAATGGTCTAAAAATTTTGTGACTTGAACGTATTTTAACTAAAATCGCAATAATTCCAAAATGTTCGCGGATTTAATAAGATCAAAATTATAAAATTCTGATCACTGGTTATTGAGAAAATAAGTTTTGAAATTTTACAAACCTGCAATCGGGAAAATTATGCGCTCCTATTAGATTTTCGCAAATTCATCACATTTTTATTTTTTAATTTGCTAGAATCTAGCTTCTATAAAAAATGCTAGTATTATAATAAAATTTACATAACAATCTCACCGCCATTACTTTTCGCCGGAACTGTACATGTATGGTGTATAGCATCTAAAGTCATCAAACGTTTATATTTTATAAAATGTATCAACTTCTTTACTGAGAAGTAAATAGAAAATTTAATCCTTGAATATGCCCTTTATGAGCATATTCAAGGATTAAATTTTCTATTTACTTCTATAAAATACAAACGTTTGATGACTTTAGATGCTATATACCATACATGTATTATGAAAAACTACTTATTTTCGCTAATAAATGTATAATTATTTCTTCGACAATAGATAAAATATTATCAATTGTTTTGATTCAATAAAAATGAAAGCTTTCCCTTTTTATTTGATTCTTCCGATACGTTTTCAATTGTTCGTTTTATGATTAGTCCAGTATACGATATTTTAAAACGTTGAAACTCTGGTGCTATTAACGAAAAAAAATACTTTGTGTTTGAATGGTTAATCTTTCTGAACTTAAATATGCAGCTTTTTCATCATGTTCAATACTTATTAATATTAGTTCTTTGTATCTCTAAAAATTATCTTTCACAATATTAATAATAAAATCAAGTGAGAACGGATAAATTGCAATGTGGAATCCTTGACAAAAAAACGGAGAATCTAATAACACTATGGCTTCTGTTGTGAAATCAATGATAACAACCCATTTGATGATTCAAAACTTAATGAGAGATTTGAAAGAGATAGCATTAAAATAAATAATCCAAGATACAATTCAAAATGAAATTAATGAGAACAAAAAAAATCATTACTATCAATCTGTTCATAAATATGAATTGCTTGTTGATTATTTAATCAATATGAAATAATATTAATCAATAAACCTTCCAAAATAATAGTTCTTTTGACACATTATCAGCATTTTGAAAAAATTTAATAAAAAAAGGCTGAACTTAACTGAAAACGGAGATGCTCAGATATAATGTATTCTTATCAAAGTGGAATAGGAACTCAAAAAGATGAGAAAAAAGCATTCGAGTAGTATTTAAAAGTGGAAATGTTAGAGGACAATTTAAACTCGATGTTTAGACCTAAAAATGTAATTGATGCATTACCTTTTAAATTTCTATCGCTATATAAAATCAATATAATATATTCTTCTAAAACAAATATAAATCTAAAATAGGACAATATTGATAAATATGCACTAAGACGCTAAAAAATAGCGCAGCTTATAAAGTACTTACTTCTTAAAAACCTGCCATTCTTTAGTAATAGAATTTTTGAATCATTCATTTGGCAAAAAAAATATTTTTTTTACAAAAAAAACTTTAACTAAATTAAGGTTTAAAGTTTTTGCAGAAGAAAGTAATCATATTTATAAAAACAAATTATCCGGCGCAAGAACACCTAACTCTTGAACATTAGCTGAGTGAATATCAGAGGATGCTGATTAAAAAAGCAGATTCCTTATAGCTTTGTTATATCAATAAAAAGTTTTTTCGTTTCACAACTTATCATCATACCATTTGCTGAGATAATATCGAGCTATCGCAAATTCTGCATCAGCAGCCTGATTGCATTAATGAACTGCTTCTTAATAATAAATAGATATATTCACAATCAGCATTATCACTTTCAACTTGGTGAACGAAATAAATTGTAATTTCTTATGTAGGTATAGCATTTATTTAATCCGATTAGAACAGGCAAGCATCTAGTTTCTACAACGATTTGGTATCTTGAAAAGAGGGTTTATATTCAATTTTGTAAATATTTTGCATTTAAAATAAAATCCAATATTTCTTAAATACATGTGCATCTTGAAGGCCTTGCTTCTTTCTCTTGCCACCATTTTATGAATTTTTCGGATAATCCACAGGTATTAGTAGAAATCGACAAAACGAGGATCCCGAATATTCTTTATACACAGCAACAATCTGAATTTGTACCGAAATTCAGACACAAGGTCATTAGAAAAATCGTCGGTTTGAAACAATGTCAAATATTCCAATTGAATAGTACATATGATACATTGGGGTGAGCGATAGTCTGTGTAACAAAACTATGAATGGTCATTAAGATTTTTGTGAAACAAGAATATCAATCTTAATTTTTACACAGGTATACAATAATACAGACAAACCCACCCCTTAAATGCACCCCCCTTTGGGACCATAGTAAAGCGTGCATTTAGAGCGGGTGTGCATTTAGAGAGGGAGTGCACTTATAGAGAGTGCATTTAGGGGGTTTGTCTGTACTTCTTTTTCAGGTAATTATTGTTGAAATTACGTAAGTCAGCTCGTTGTTGGTTTTCATTATTGGTGGAGGTCGTTTCAGATATTTTTTCAAGACATACATGTACTTTATTTGCATTTTTTAATTGAAATCGGCGTTTATATAATGTGTAAATACCCATGATTAATTAATTAGATGTGTAACCTTTACGACTAAATATTTTGAAGTTAAATTTCAATATATTAATATTAAGTCCAAAACGAATAAGTTTACGAAGCCAAATTTTACATATTAACTAAAAAAAAAAACATTTACTATTAATTTGAATATTCGATGAAGTCAACGAAATATAAGACGCAGGTAAAAGTATAATTGATTTCTTCGTAAATAAAAATTTCGTAACTTTGTAATTATAACGCGCGTGGAAGGTCATCGTTTTTTATGTAGTATTGAAGTCGATCAGAATTCTATATTGATTGACCGTCATATCAATGTGCATGGATCGAGAAAATCTAATTACGTATATAGAATGTTGTCCGAGTTTTGACTGTAATCTACTTTATGAGCATTTTGTAACATTGAGGGATTTCAATCGGAAGAACAAAAAAAGAAACGAGTATATTCACATTTACAAACATTCGGATCATTTATAAGAAAGAATCCAGCCCGAATTGCAAATTTTATAGGTATTTATTTATTTACGAATTTCTTGCTATCATTTACATCACAATAAAATGGTTTAAGATATAAATAGTAAATATAAAATGCGAATAAACTCCCGTTTCTCCAAATTAGAACAATAAATATGTGATTCAGGAGTATAGAATTTATAATCGATAATTGATAAGAAACTACTTGTGCTCATAAAAATATTTGATATTCAACACAAGAAATTTAATTCTGTGAAAATATTCGATTAAATGACTTGATGTGACGATTGCTCCTCCGTCGCTTCTTGTTTTTCACGTAAATTTCTGTATGCGACTATCACTAGTACGAAATAAATCTTATAGAAAACAAAAAGAGAAAAATTAAAAAAAATCGATATTAGATGAAAGAAGATTCTTGATTTACTTACCTCGATTAAAGTACCAATGATTGTACTGATGATTGAAGAAAGAAACACAATATCAAAAGCCGATTTACAGTCATTCTGATCGTAAACGGTTGAGTCTTGACAGTAATCGAGAAACTTTTGTTTTAGAACGGCTATTGCTATTATTTTAGCAATTTCTGTTATTACCGCAATTGCTAAGATAATCCATGACACTATTACATAGTAATTTAAGAGCCGGATTTTATTCTAAAAGAAGTGAAAATCAATGAATTATTCGGTCTTTATATAACATTCTGTGATCTTTATAGAACAAACTTACTCTAAATATCACTACAAATAACCCATAAAGTGCGCCGAGGACTATAAAAATCGTGATAATTCCATCCACTAAATTCCAAGTTCCAATATATTGCCAAACTATCAACAAAAATAAAGCACAATTAAATATCAATTTAAAGTTTAATCAGACCGAGATTTTGAATGAATAAAAAAGCTAAAAACTTACAATTTTTAGAGGCTTCGTCACCTTTATTAAAGTTAAGAAAATCGACAACAAGTTGCCAAACCCCACCAACCTTTATTTTTCATCAAATTATTACAAGTGTTATTATCAACAATGTCAATTATTGAATATATAATAAGAGTAATTTTTAACAATAGCTTACCAGCCATAGAATGGTTATAATCACCACGCCTGCTCCCAAAGGAATACAACAACAACATTTTGACATCTGTATTCCTTTCCTAATGGGTGGTGACGTTCCTTCTGGACGATTCATAATTATTGTTTATAATTAACAAATTAAAAATATTTCGTAGGATTTAGAAATTAAACAGAATTTTTTTGACGATAGTAATAGCGATAGCAATTGCTTCCCTTTTAAATATCCCATATGTCACACAAACGGTATGTATTATCTTTATGTAAATATCCATATTCGTCTAAATAAAGGTAACATTAATGCAAATACGTAGCTGGTCATCACATCAGTCTGATAACGATAATACATGTAAATATGGAAATCATCATTGTTGAACCGAGAAAAAAACAAAATTTTATTCAATTCGGTATTACGTATAACGAAGTATGGTATTGTGACGAACACCACCACCAACATATACCAAAAATGTAACTCATACGTGTATATTGATATATTCAAACATGCTAATTTTGAATGTTTTATATTTCACAAATATGAAACATTCAAAGTTAACATATTTGAATATATCAATATACATGTATATAAATTTATAGTTTGGATATATGGTGGCGTTCGTCACAATACGTACCACACTTCGTACACGTGGCACAATCGCAATTATATCGATGTTTGTGTTACATGTATCATCATTATTAATGTGGTTATCGTTTTGGATCTTTGAGAACCGATTTCAATTGCAGGAAATATCAACTAATTCCTGTTTGAATGGCTGAGCTGATAGAAACTGCAACGAACTTTTCTACCCTTAAGAAATGTTGCAGGAAGCAAATTCACTAATTCGTTAGTGGTAAAATATTAAAATTTCTGATAATGCATAAATATTCGTAATTAGCGAATTAATTTTTAAAGTTGTATCTTTTTTTTTAAGCAATAAGCGAGATTTAAAAATAAGACAAATTGTTTAAATTTAATTGATTCATTTTCAAGAATTTCAGTGATAAAGGATTTGCATATAAAGAATCTGGATAGAATTTTCGTTAATATTTTAAATCGAACAATCAAATTATGTTCTATTGTAGAAGACCGTTAGCGTTATGAATGTCTGACTGTATACATGTATCTGCAAATACTGTGTACATGCATATTATCATTATTCGTTGTTCAGTAAAAATCTAATACATGTACATGTATTTACGTAATAACCGACTCTGCATATTTTGATAAATGAAATTTCCTTTAATAAATAAACAATGAATAGTTATGTGTGTATGTATTGTATCGGTATGCATCTCGTTTAATCAAAGTGCATGTGCATGTGCATGCATCTTAACGTTAACTGTTTTTGTTCAACCAAAGAAATTTGTAAAACATACAACGATGAAAGTACCTATAAATCATGCTAAGAAATTTTGGATGAATATAAATCAGATAACATAATGATCATCCATGATAATATCAAATCAAAGATACCAATTTTGCTATCAAAGTTTATAATAATTATAACAAAGGCAAAATAACAGAACAAGTGTAATTTATACGTATATGCATATTGAAATTGATCAAAAACATGATTATAGACGCTATATAAAATTCTCTATAGAATATACCCCCGTAGAATATATTACTCCAAATATCATAACATAATGATTCATACAGTGAAAAACATCTTAAACCAGCAAATACTGGACTGGTCAATGTGGCCAATTTTTTATTGTAGATCTTATACATAATTAGTCTGACCAATCATAATTCTTTTTATTAATGGTAAAGTAAACTGGCCAAATTGTTATCTTTATTAATTGTCCGAAGCGTAGCGAAGGACATTATATTTCTACAATTGTGATCACGTGGGATTTCCGTTTGTCCGCACGCGTAAATTAACCAATTGCGTTCTTTCTTTATTTACTAAAAAAATAAGATGATCGTCAGGAGTCTGAAAAATTACGTAATTGGAAAATCAATAAAACATAACTCCGGACTTAATTAAAACGGTTTCCGTTTCCTAGTAATAATAACTAACTTTAAAAGGATTCAACTTAACCAATTAACGTTAACAAATGATTTTCGTAAATTTATTTTTCTTATTCTTCTGTATCTTTTTACATTAAAAAATATTTTCTAATTATCTTAATTCTTTACATAAAAAACTTAAAAAATTGCATTTATTTTTTGCTGATTATAGATGTCATGCACTATAAAAGAATCGATTTTAAGGGGATATTAGATAGTTGGTGTCGGATCGATTTCAGTTTATTACTTATTAATTTCACACAGCTCACCCACTATCGATTTTTCACGTGATTTTCCGATCTGATTTTACTGGCTACAACAATTATGCACTAATTAACGGTTAGTGTTAGCATTAGAGTTGGAATAAGGTTATATGTAAAAATTATCTTTCCGTCATTTTTTTATTAGTACTCCAAGTTAGATTAGGCACCGGTCTCCCGCATTTTTTGCATTGTTCATTTTCTTGTGGCGGATTTGGTTTGTTGGGTTGATCAAAAATTTGCGCATCCTCATTGGTTTCGAGATCGTCAGGGGTTGGAAAAATCACGTCGATTGTGGGTAGCTTGTTAAGCCAGATTTGTCTGTTGTGAATAAATTTCTGTATAATTAATACATCTCGATTTATTTAACCGTATAATGAATAAAAATGTTTTTTAAGGACTTTTGCAACTGCCATTACCGTTATTTTTCGAATACACCCACATCCTGTGATGTTGCCTGGCCTAAAATTTTCTGATACACGAAAAATTAAAAGAACAATAACCATATCAAACAAGTAATAAAACACTTGGAATTTTACTAACACTGACAATCTTGGTTTTTCCCTGGTTTCTATTACCACATAAATAATGCGATAAATAAACCATTTGTGAATTCCATTGTTGTTTTGTTGTATGCTGTCGGTTATTCTCACATTTTCGCTATAACGATTTACTTCGACCTACCCGGTCCAAAAAAAGTATTCGGGTTAAAGCGCATAGAAGCTAGGTTGAACGCATCATGATGGCGGATTGTTTCGTGCACAAGTGGACGATTCACGATCATAACTACCACTGTAGTTAGAAGAATCATGGCAGAGAGAATAAACTTGAAACTTATAAAAAGGAATAAATAATAAAATGACTAATAATAATAGTAGTATAAGCATAAGCTCTTTCCAGGAAATCAAATACATTAATTAACATCTCATTTATAATAAGTATGACTTAAAGAATGGAATATTAATCCGAGGTTTAGCCAAAATAATTAGATAACGCAGTATCGCTTGTACAAATAAATTTAGAGAATTAAAGAATTGGTCAATTGGGAGATAGACTGAATAATTTAAAATAGAAAGGGTTTCTTCAATGTTCTAAAGGACTCCTGTAGTATATTGTACGCAATCTAACCAATAATAATGTAAGAGGGGGTATAGTAATGAAATTTATTTTTTTTAAATAGTGATGACCACAGGACTTACTGATTTGCCTATGAAATAAAATTACAAGACTTATTGAGACTGCTTGTGACAAATAATCAGCAGGACTTATTGAGACTGCCTATAACTTAGATTACCGGGTTTTATTGAGACTGCCCAAAGAAATGAAAGAAAAATCGTAGGACTTATTGAGACTGCCTAAAAAAAATAATAATAATGGGACTTATACAAATGCTCAAACAAATAATAGCAATAACGGCTTATTTAGAGTGGAGGAGCATCCACTTGCTTATTCTCAAGCTTTGAAGACAAATAGTTAAAGAAATTATCAATAAGATATATTTGATTAAAGTATTTGAGCATGTCTTTTATCAAGAGGGAAAGACTCCCCTTTTATACATATTAATTTTCAAAATAATAGCTAAATTATAATTGTTTTACAAATATTTGTATTATTTTCCATTTACTTTTCTTTTCATTTTCACTTCAATTTCCACTTTACTTTTCACTTCATTTTCCACTTTACTTTTCACTTCACTTTCCATTTTTTTTTTTACTTTTAATTTCTTGAATTATATTATTTTCTACTTATCTTTGTAACAGCAGTTGACAGGAATGATTAAAATTTTTCAGTATTGAATGGATTAAATGATTTGGTTAGCTGAGAAAGTTCAACTTCCATTGGCAACATATCGTGTAGGATCATGTAACATTTTGATTGGACGCCACTTCAATATAAAAATATCTGTTCGCCTACACTACGATGAGGTAGCAACATATCACGTAATTTTTTGATTGAACCAGTATACATCGACCAAAGATGTGTTGTACATGTACGAATTAATTATACATGCATTATGAACACAATTATTTTTGTATGGGTGAGCATCGAGCCTTAAAAGGGCATCAAGTTCGAACTCTAGGATCTCGTTTTACTTGTGGAGAGAGCCTTTGGCTCAGTGAGATCACTCTGCAATTGGATCACTGCCTGATTCATAGGAATTATATCAGATCTTGCAAAAGCAAAGATAAATTTGATTTATGGTCAAGACAGAATCGAAGGTTCATTGTTCCCACAATACGTTATTGCCAATCCTCCAAATTACATTTGAATTTCCTTCGTCGCATTTTTCCCAATATTATAGTGATTCGTCTATCAAAACGAGATTTAATGTATTATCCCACCATCTCACATTACAGTTGCAAAGCATATGTAGAGTCTCAAGTGATAATTCTCAGCTGAATATGACACGAAGAGTTGATGCTATCGCATCAGTTTTACCGAAATATGATACTCATTTGATCTAGAGTTAAATCGGCTGTGGAATCCAATTCATCCATATGTTTAAATAGCAAGTAAATTCTGTATCACCCTCTTTATAATCAAGTTCATTATAATAGGTCTCGTTATAATAATTCAAAACATATAACTTATTATATTTAAAATATTTGTAGAAAATTGACCTGTGTAAAATCAGTAGTCAGAATCAAACAACTGAGACTCAAGGCAGTATCTTTCAAAGAATCTTTCTAATGGTGTTGTCATGATAATGGTTGAATGAACGAGATAGATATGAAAGTATGGTTTGAAAAATATAGTTGAAAATACCAGGTGATTGTGGGCAAGCTAAAAAGAATTTTCAAAAGTCATTAAACAGAAATAGCACCAATAAAAACACGTCGTTCTACTTCAACACGCCAATTTTTAGATGCCTATCTCAATAAGATAGACTTTGTAGAAGATGGGATATCTGGATGAAAGAAGTGAAATCATAATTTTCGAAACCAGATAATTTAAAGGAACCTGGACATGAAGAAATATGCATATCTGATGAGATGAGCATTAAATCGTTTAAAAAGACCGGAATATCCAATGTTATAAATGGAACTGAGGGAGGCAAAAGAAGCAGAAGGGAAAGAAAGAGAAATAGTTGAGCAGGCAGATGTATTTGCAGCTGTAGAGGCCGGGATTGCTACAGTAAGTAACAGTACCACTCTTAATCACGTAAAAATAGAAAAAAAAGAAATATCAGATTTGAAACCTTTGCCAACTGTAGCAGTGATTGCTATTGACTTATACATGGCAATCATTATCGTTATCGTTATCGTTATCGTTCTCTGTTGGTAAATCAATGAAATCATCAATTTTGAATGGACACAGTATCTCAATGTCCAGTGATCCGATCCATACACAAATACTATATACGTACATGTACATGTATTTGTGTATGGACATTGAGATTTTTTGACGATCAGTTTCTGATGAAGAATTGATTGACAAAATACGTAATACATGTATCTCAATCCGATTTGTACAAAAATACATGTACTATATACCATTTGATCCATCTTGACTAGACGAATTGAATGGTTGTATTTTTGTATATACGAAACAAATCATTGAAGGTAAACTTTCATATTGTTCGTAAGAGATAGTTGCAACAATTGTAAAAGCTATATAAGGCATCGATAATAAACTATTGTGTTACATTTCACATGGTAAAAGTTTCAGCCAATTATATTTAATAGATATAGTAAATTAGGAGGGGTTATGTCACTACTGTATATGGAAAGAATCATAGTGGTATGGTGTAATATGCAGCTGTGTTTAATTTGTAAAGAACTGGGTTATGTATTTTAGCAAAAAGGAATAGAATATTTTGGTTTTCAACTTTCTGTGCATCTTTTAAACCGCCCATTTGTATGCGAATATGGCATAATAGATAGCGGTTTAGGGAGATTGCTATTCATGGGTGGAAGCTTGAAAGAATATACCCACAATTTTATTGTTATTATCTTGGTATGGGTATATGGAAAGACCCATAGTGGTATGGGTGTAATATACAGCTGTTTGTAAAGAATCGGGTTGCAAATGGAATAGAATATTTATTTTCAACGTGCATTCTGCATATGACATAATAGATGGCGGTTTGGAGATTGCTATTCATGTGATGCTTACATTAACAAGTTAATTTTTCAAAGCTTGAAAGACTATACCCACAATTGTTTGACCTCGGTTTATGTAAGCATAGCTGAGTCAGAGTCCATTTTGTTTTTATCATATTAAAGGCACCAGCAATTAAAATAAACTAAAGAAATATATGCATAAAAAACACATCGTGTGAAGTTATTAATCAAATTTAAATTTTTACTCCGTTCTATTAATAAATTTACACGCGTGGTGCGCTTTAATGTTAGCTACTATATATTAAAAATCATGAATCCAAATTTATTTTTGATTACCAAATCTAGAACAAATAGAAATTATCTACCACATCTTTATAGTTATAATGCTAGTAAGTATTTAAGAATAAAAATCACCAAATGGTCAATGTATTTTCTCCTTAAATGAGCACTGCTATGTTCAATGTATTTTCTCTTTATTGATACTGCTATGTGCAATAAAAGAAATAAAAGAGAAATTATAATGCAAAGAACGAAAATTGCTTAAAGCGATCAACTATTGACATAGATGAACATATACATAATGTAATATTGGAAATTTTATAGAACGCACTCGTAATAATGCTTAAACGTCTGGTTTATGAACTATGGCAAGCTTATACTGTTGATGAACTACAGCAGTGCAAGAAGATATGATGTATAGGTCTTTCCGTTCCGAAAAATGAATATATCTCTTTTCCCGAATCTATAAAAACGCGAACAATTCAGACTCTTTCCCAACATTGGAAAATAACAAGATCCAATAAAGTTCACATTTCAAATTCAAAACGACCACACATTTTTATATTCTACAAAATCCAATAGACCACATATTTCATTCAACACTGAGTAATTTAGTCAAAACGAAAATGAACAAGCAAATCTTTTTCTTTGTTGCTCTGATCTTCACCTTTGTCTTCGTTTCGTCAGTTAATACGACCACACATTTTTTATATTCTACAAGATCCAATAGACCACATATTTCATTCAACACTGAGTAATTTTGTCAAAACGCAATGAACAAGCAAATCTTTTTCTTTGTTGCTCTGTTCTTCACCTTTGTCTTCGCTTCGTCAGTTAATGCCATCCCCAACTATTATCATCCTCCGAAAAATAATACATGATGCGATCCTCCTCCTCCTCCTCCATGCTGTGATTGTAAAATCTTCTATTGCAATTTCATACCTAGCAAGACCGATCCAGAACAAAAAGTGATCGGCCACATTCAATTCCAACAGTTTCCCAATTGTCCTGTGAGGGCCACTGGCATTGTAAATATATTTGATCCTTGCAGTCCCCAATGCGAATACGATCGCGTTAGAACACACTACGATATCCATGTACTCAGTGGTTTTCCACCTAATAAACTCATTAGTGTCGTCGATCTGGAGGATATTGTGAGCGCCAATGGTAATCTTGATTATCCCTTCCAAGGTTTTACAGCTCTAACACAGCCTTTTGAAGATCTCGGTAGCCTCAAGTGTGTAGTGATGCTCGAAGATCCAAATGGTAATGAATCTAATGATAAAGTTCTTGGATCTGCCCAAATCCTCCCAGCTTAAACCTTTCTATAATTGCTCGTTCATAAAGCATGTACGATAAGAGTTTATTTTTCTGTTACTGTACTGACTGATGTTTTTGTGCTTATCTTGGAATTGAATATATAAAGCTCTGTTCGGGTCGGGTCGGGTCGGATTCGGATCAGGTTTGATCAGAAAATCGTAAAATATTTTTTCGTTAATAACTTTAATTTTTACTAAGACACTTGTATTTGTGTCTAAGTAGAGTTGTTCGGAATGTAATTTTGTATATACCCACAAATTTTCGTTTAATTCTAATTAATATTGAACGAGAAATAACGTTTTTTAGGCTGACCCGAAATGTGTGTTCCGGGTCAGATTACGGATTGGACCCGACCCGGTTGGAGCACTATGAATATACTTATCTGAAAAATTCTAAGTTTGTGGTAATCTAAGCTGGAACATGTGTTTAGATACTAACTTGTATAATATTGAGAATATGTTCTGGTTCCAAAACTATACTAAAGCTCTGTTCGGGTCGGGTCGGGTTTGAGGTCAACCTGATCCGATAAATTCGGATCGGTTCGTGTTTGATCCGACAACCGTAAAATAGTTTATCGTTAATAACTTTTATGTTTACTAAGACACTTGTATTTTATGTCTTAAATTGAATTGTTTGGAATATAATTGTGTATATATCTACAAATTTTTGCGATTTGAACGAGAAGTAGCGTTTTTTAATCTGATCTGAATTATTTCGGGTCGGGTTTGACACCAACCCGACCCGATCCGAAGTGTGCGATTCGGGTCGGGGCACGTATTTGAACCGACCCGTTGGAACACTAATCTTCAGTCAAAAGTGAATTGATGGGTTTCTAACTTGTCATAATTTGACAAATAGACGCTAAACAACTATTGCACAACACCTTCTAGATGATTATATAGAACAACGTAAAGATTTCTTCAGCTTTGTTCTTTTCCATCGCCAACAACATAATTATTCACTTAAATTGATCGAGTATATGGATGCAATACCAATTGTATTTAATATGCTAACCAATACAACTATATGAACAAGGTACCAAAACAATTTCTGTTGTTTATACGGACCATGAAAAACCAATTTTCTGATAGTGTTAACCTGTTCTGCAGATGGAACAAAGCTACCTCCAGTTATTATTTTTAAATTACAGTTAAAGTTCGATAAACCGAAGGCCTCGGGTTATTCAAAAATAAACTTCGCTTAACGTTATAAGTACTATTTATATTATCCTTTTTATCAAGCTCTTTGTTAATAGGTTGGTTCCTGAAAATTCTTCGGTTTAACGCGAGTTCGCGTTATCGAGGGTTCGTTTTATCGAACTTTAACTGTAGTTAATATACCACGGCAGCAATTTCCTGATGATGTAATTATTTGTGCAATTTTCCTTTTTTGCTCATATTACAGATTCTGTAAAATAACAATTCAAAGAAAAAATATGATAGTAATTCTTGGAGAAATGACTTCATAACTAAAATCAAATTTTATAATGATTTTGTATATATTTTTCGATAACTTTCTTTTATATAGATTCTTTAATGAATGGATGGTGAATGAAAGTAAAAATATATTCCTCTTGGCAAAATCAAATAACCATTCTATGCAACAATTGCTGGATAAATAAAAAAAGCTTGGGATAAAATCAAAATTCCATTGATTCAAAAATCGTTCAAATGTTGTGACAGTTTAATAAAATGAATGGGTCTGAAAGAAAATTACTTTTTGGATTTTCATGCATACAACCTAATCATACTACCAAAACTATTGGAATTCAAGAAAATGAAGTAAATAGTTTATCTCCTGATGAATTAGAAGATGACTTTCAGCAAGTAAATCGATTCTTTTCATCTAATGTCAATTTTTAAATTTTCCGTTTTTGTTTTTCTATAAGTTTATTTCGTAGCAGTGATAGCTGCATACAGAAATTTACGTGCAGGTCAGGAAGCATGAGCAATCGATAAATTGAGTTATTTAATAGAATATTTTCACAGAATTAAATTTCTTGTGTTAGAGATCAAATATTTATGAGAGCAAGTAATCAATTATCATGCTTCTGAATCAAATATTGCTTCTAATTTGGAGAAATGGAATTTTCTTCGTATTTTATATGTATATGTATGGTTTGTCAATAAATTTGTTTTCAAGCACATTTTGCTAGTTTGTAAAGATAGCAAGAATTGGATGTTTTCTTAGCGCTAGTGATTCTCATAAATAAATACACGTAGTAATTTGGATCGATGCAAGTATGAACGTACGTATATCAATATGCAGATTTACAGAGAGGATCAAAATTAGGTTATTAATAGATTACTGACAATTTGCATATTTGTACATGTATATTGATGATAATTTTGTGATTAATTTAATTGTCTCACTTGCCAAACATTCATAATTGCTGATTTGTTGACTACCACTGTTTTGTAACCAAATTAATGCAGTTCATGATAATTGGTAAAATTAATCACTGATTAATTTTCCTACGTACTTTCAGCAGTTTTATTTATGGATAATCCAAAAATGCAACTGTTCAATTATATGTTGTGGTTATTTATATGATTATTGATGTGCCAAATGTCTGTATTGTAGTGAAAATTTTCAGTAACTGACTATGATTACAACAAGACTCTGAAACCAACAAAAAATGTTAAATATGCTTTAATTTTTGGAGCACTTTACCAGAAAGTGAGATAATCAAATAATCACGAAATTGCCATCAATGAAGATAAATATGGTCGATCAGCATTAGCGAGAATAACATCATAAATGTTTCAATCAAATTTTGAACCAAATAGTCACTTTGGAACACGATATCTCGACGTCCAGTGATTAAATTCGAGTGAAAATACCAGTGTTCAATTTGACTAGTCGAGAAAAATCGAATGTTGTATTTTCGCTAGAATCTAATCATTGGACGTCGAGATATCAGAGTTGGACAGTGACCTCAAAATGACCTCAAAGTGACCTCGAGTGACCTACTAAATGACCTTATTTTAATATTAAATTCTAGTGACCAGTGACCAAAAGTCACTGGTCAAATAGCAAACGACCTAATTTTGTCCATCACTGCGAGATATCACGTCCTCATTTGACCGTTTTGTTTTTTTAAAAAAATCAATTTTTTATTAGAAAAATGTTTGGAATGGTCACCAAACCATATACGTATTATGAAAAGTTAACGAAAATATATTCGCAATGTTATTGTCAATAGTGGTTAAACAAAGTGGTAAAAAGTAATTTGAATTTCTTTTTTTGAACTGAACGCGCGGTAATGCTGATACAGTCTCATGTAAAGTAACGGCAGTTAGTTTTTTAAAGAAAAGAGCAATTTTTAAAGAACAACTACCAAAAACTTATTTTTGGAATGCTTTTGATAAATCAACGTATGATACATTCTCCTTCCATGTCAATGCAGGTTTGAATGTTACTTGATGTGTCAAAAAAATATAATAACTATTACGAGAGTAATTCAATTTGCTCTTTACAACTTTTATTTTATAAAAACATATAGTTTTTAATACAATTCTTTAAGCCGGACATTTTTCCTAATGGGCAAGACTCGTTGACTTGGTAAAATTTCGTGTCAATTGATGTCCTTCAATCACTGAAAATTGGAGATACATTTCGGATCTAGTCATATCAATAAATTTTGATCAAATTTAAACCTTTTTCACTTTTACAAAATGCATTATCTAAAAAAAACTTCATATATCAATAAAATACTCGCCAGCTTCAGTTTATGAAAGCCGATTTCAGTTTGCTTGATTTTTCATAGAGTAATAGCAGTTCAAATTTCGTCACTTTTCATTGGTCATAAGCCACATGGCTGACTGGAGCCACCCACAACAATCAATCAAAAAATTCTGATATCATCACATGATGGCTTTGGCACGTGATATTTTTTCGAGAAGAAATCTTGTCAGAATAAAGTATCAGCTTTCGTTTACCTGTAAAATCATCTGATTCTGCATATTTAATTATAAAACTCACCTGACTAGCAAATTACAAAAAAATATACTCTATTTTAAGGTAAAAGGAGACATTTTTGCAAATGGGAATATTGCAATGAAGTTATTATATCTTAATATTGGTCTTTTTAATTTGCTTCTGGATAATAAGTAGATATATAAAAAATATATTTTGCACATTTATTTATTATTTGGAAACAAGTTAAAAAGAGCAATTTAAAGATATAATAATTTTGTTACAATATTCTTTTCTCTCCAAATATTAGCATTTTGAATGTAATACACAAAATAATTATTTTTTTCCTTTTATTATTAGTCAAATTATACCAGACTTAAACAAAAATTAAATGTAATTTTTAGTCAAAATATATTAATATTTGTATTATTTGTAAAAAATTTTCTTAATTACAATTTTAACTTTACTAAAATATCCCCTTTTAATATGATAAAATTCGCTTTTTATATGAACTAATTAATATTTATTATTAATATGAAAAAGCAATCTATTAAGACTAAACAAAAAAAGTTATAAGATGTCAGGTCGAAGCTATAAGAATTTGCTTTCTTACTAAAATTTATTGGAAAAAGAAATTAATATCAGTTAATATTTATACTAATACTGAATTACAATGCTCACAAGTTAGATGTTCTTATGTAAAATATTCTCTCTGCAGAACATTTGAACTTCAATTTAATCTCAAAGCTATTATTTTTTATTACAAAATTTTGATGAAATTATATTGTGAATTTTGATTTATTTAGTTTACGGTAAATGATTGGTTTAATAAAAAGTGATTAATTACAACAAATTTATTTTTGTCGAAGTTGACTACTTTTTTTCTTAATATTATAAGATTTCTTAATTAACTCTCTTTAATAATTATTATACTCTTAATTCTTAAATTCTTGATAATTCTAAATAATACTTATTATAATACAGAATAACACCAAAAATTATGATTCATGTATTAATCTTTACAATATAAAATACAAAATGTTCAGTATAGTATTTATAAAATATTCTCTTTTTTATTGTA